ATATTTGAATAAGCGAAGGCACGTCGCTCGAGAGCTTTCTCGTTAGGCACATTAGACTAAAAAACTAAGATTGGACTTGAAAAGCCCGTGTAATGACAGCATAGAGCATAGAACGCGAAAGTTGTGGAAAACCGAATAACGCGAACCTCGATAGCATTTGTAGCAGCCTCGACGGCTGCTTCCCAGAGAGCTTGTTTTATATAGGCTGCCGATAGATTCGAAAATAAAATAGATCGCAGCAGATCATTTTCAACAGGGCATAACTCCAATGCTTCCTGAAAGCCTAGACTAAATCAGAAACAAATTCATATGAAGAACTAACTTTATACTTTTCGGCTGCAGCACTCCATTCCCCTTCACCAAATTTGGTGTTGCCTTCTTTCTTCAAGTTCTCTACAGAAGCAATGACATCCGATTCTTCGTGCACTTCCTCGACAATGGCCATACAAATATCTACAAGACTGCTGAGAGAATTGAAGAAGAAGCAAACGAGATATAAAAGCCGGCCTTAGCGATTAACAAAGCTTTCACATAAGATGTGGGCTCAAACAATTCCAATTCCCGATTCCCGACTGGTCCCGATTAATAATTCTGCTAAAACTCACGCGCAACAAGTATAGAAAAATTTTACATGTGAGCGTTCCCATATCCTCTGCAGCTCGTGCAAATACACCCAAACAAAGCGTGAAATATGAACAGACACTCTGGGCGCAATAACTGCAGTGAATCAAACAGGAGCGGTACTCGTCAATGTTAATGAATTTATTTACATATATTCCTACACAACAATAACAACATAAACAATGTGAAAGTATGCATCTGGCATGCTACTTCATAGAAGATCATGACTTATTTGCTTCACCAAATCCATGAAAGAAGTGATTTGCTCTGTTCTAATCTACTTGTTTCGGACCACTCGTCAGCTTAATGGCTTCCTAGCTATCATGCAAACAGATCTTGGTAAAGCTCAGCATAATGGGAAACAAATCGCACGTCCAGATCGCCCTTCATAAAGTCGGGCAAATCATCGTAATCTCGGCGGTTTTCCGTGGGCAAAAAGATTCGTTTTGCTCCGACTCGTCGAGCCTAAA